CTGCCTACCTGTGATCTCTGTCTGTCAAATAAATAAATAAAATCTTTAAAAAAAAAAAAAACATTCCTCACACTCTCCCTACTTCCAATCACGACCCCTCTTCAGAAGACTCTAGTGCCACCAATCAATTCTGGTCACCTTGGGCTGATCTGACTTTTGCCAGATTCCCCCAGCTTTCCTTTTGGTCTGTCAAGGCCCAGACCCAAACAGGTACTAGCTGCATCTTGGAGCGGAAGGGTCAAAGGAGGCCTCCCAGACAAGCATTCTGTTGGGCCCCAAAGCCCAGCACAGTTCTTTCCTTCAGCTCTGGACTCCACTGGCTCTCTGGCACCCCGACCCTGGAGAGCCTACAGCCCCCACAAGCAGTTTGCAGCGTCCACAGTGAACCCCCCACCCCACCTCCTGCATGTGTCTCATGCTCCCCTTCTAATAGGAAATGTATCCCTTCATCCCCAAGAGTCTAAGAATAGAACTTGCTACAGTTCTAGGTAATAAGAATCACATCAAGAGTAATCATCTAGGGCGCCTGGTGGCTCAGTGGGTTAAAACCTCTGCCTTCGGCTCGGGTCATGATCCCAGGGTCCTAGGATCAGGCCCCACATCGGGCTCTCTCCTCAGCGGGGAGCCTGCTTCCCCGACCCCTCTCTGCCTGCCTCTCTGCCTACTTGTGATCTCTGTCTGTCAAATAAATAAATAAATCTTTAAAAAAAAAAAAAAAAAAGAGTAATCATCTATGGGCGCCTGGGTGGCTCAGTGGGTTAAAGCCTCTGCCTTCGGCTCAGGTCATGATCCCAGGGTCCTGGGATCGAGCCCCGCATCGGGCTCTCTGCTCAGCGGGGAGCCTGCTTCCTCCTCTCTCTCTCTCTCTCTCTGCCTGCCTCTTCATCTGCTTATGATCTCTGTCTGTCAAATAAATAAATAAATAAATAAATAAATAAATAAATCTTTAAAAAAAAAAAAAAAGAGTAATCATCTAATTGTCCTTTGTAAATGCCCCTGCGTGGTGGGCAAGGCTCCTTCTCACCATGACCCCTTTGGAGCCACTCAACATTCCTAAGGAGGCTCTCGGAGAATTCCATGACTTGCTCAAGGTCACACACTTTGTAAGGATGGCCTGGGGGCAGGAGAGGCTGGTGAACACTCTGTCCTTGGGGGAAGTAGGCTAGGGCATCTCAGAAGGAATGGAGGTGCCCTCATGGTGCAGAAGAGGCAAGCGTCCCCTGCGCTCTTGTCCATGGGCACAGGCCGGCCCTGAGCAACCCCGTCCGGCTCCATTCACAAACGCCTACGGGAAGGGCAAATTCGAGGCTAGCCTACCACCTCGGCGGGGCGCTGCCCAGGAGGGCCCCTCGGCTGCCTCACCTATAAGGGGAGATGCCTAGGCTCGACCCCTGAGGTTTTTTCCATCAAAGTCTTTTTCTCTTTCCTTGTTTATAAAAGACACGTATGAAAACTCAAATGATACAAAAATGAGTCGTGGTGAAAGAGTAAAGCTCCTTTTTCAATCCCCCACCTCCAAAACCACAGGTAAACCCTTGTTAACAATTTGGTGAGGATCCTTTGCAGACTTTGTTTCTACGTGTCTACAATCGTTTGTGAGTTACATGTTTACACACATGGATTCACACACACAGCCAGATCCAGGATTTTTTTTCCTAATAGGGTGTCTTACTACTCCGTGTTCTATAACTTGCTTTTCCACTTAACAAGCACAGTGGGCATCTCTCCATACCCGTGCATATGGAGCTGTCTCTCCTACTTCACAGCTGCTCCACATTCTAGTGAATGGAGGCCCCAGAATTTATGCAAACGGTTCCCTAATAGTGGGCCTTTGGGCCATTTGCTTTTCACAGCAATGAGCCCCGTGCACTTATAGTTCCGTGCGCCTGCGTATGTCAGTAGATTGGGGTCCCAGAAGTGGGTTAGCTGCTGGAGGGCCTGCCAAATTCCCTCCAAAGAGCTGTACCCCTCAAAGCGCACCCCGACAGCTTGAGAGAGCACTGGGCTCCCTTCCCTCGCGGCGGACAATCTCGAAGGCTACGTCTGCTCTAAGGTCTATATCTTCAACTCTGAGCCCTGTTGAGGTGCCTCTGAGCTGCCCATTGAGGAACCCCCAGGGTGGCCAATAGGGACAAGGGCCTTGGGGACAAAATAAATAAATAAAAACAAAATAAAAACCCGAGTCCTCCCTGGACAAGGCTCCAGGCACACAGAGCAGACTGTGGGCGAGCAGAGGGACTAGCCAAGCTGTTTTCCTGGCTAGGTGGGGTAGCTTGGAGCAGGCCTGGTTCCCCCAAGGGAAGCTCCCAGGGAAATCTGCAAAGGTGTGCAGTCCTCAGCCAGAAGTCCTCTGCCAGCCTAGCCTTGGGCACAGAGGGCTGAAGCCAGCAGAGCCAGGAGGTCAGAAGCAGGAATGCAAGGGAGCAGTAGGCCTTGTCTTTCTCCTTAGCTTCCATCCCTGAGTGTTTGGACACACTCTGTCTGGGACTGAGAGGGCCTTTCCCACCTCCCAGCTCAAGCCAACAGGGTTCCCTGACCTAGAAAACCCCTCCCTGGTAGAAATCCTCTCACCCTGAGACAGCCCAAGCAGTGTGGGGGATGCCCGGGCCCCCACAGCTCCCCCCCAACGTCCAGCCGTGCTGGGCACCACAGAGCTCTGAACATGCCTCTGCCAGGGAGGTGGGCTGGGGGTCTGCTGGGCCAATGTGGGCTGGGAAATTCAGGTCGGAGTCAAGCTCTTACCATGGCTGTGTCCTTTTTCCTTCTGGCCACTTGCTGCCCTACAGACACCTCCAACTGGGGCAGGCTCCCAGCCCCACCAAGCTGCTTGAGACAACTTTGCTGTCACTAACTTCCTGCCTGGGGACCACATGGCCTCTTCTCACCCTGGGACTCACTTCCTGTTGATTGCCAGCTCCATAGCAGAGAGAGCCAGGAGAACCTGCTCTGCCCCCCACCTGCTCTGATCAAGCATCCCTCCCAGGCCCACCCCGGAGGACCCCGGTCTGCAGTAGCACGAGGCCCACCCCCCCCTTCCAGAGGTGGGCAAATGAGAAGGGAAGCGCTCTGCACAGCTCCCGCCCCAGGCTTAGCTCAGCATGCTGAAGTACCCCCTCCCCTCCTGCCCACCCTTCCTCTCCTCCCAACTGAGCCACTCTCTCTGGTTCTAGATGACCTTGTGTTAGCCAAAGTTCTGGGATTGGGGAAGCTGCTGATTCCCACCCAGGCCAGCCCTTGATCCAACTTATCCCTCAAGAACCCTCCCACCCTGGGGTGGCTGGCTGGCTCGTTGGTGGAGCATGTGACCCTTGATCTCCGGGTTTTAAGTTTGAGCCCCACACTGGGTATAGTGACTACTTACAAATGAAATCTTAAAAAAAAAAAAAAAAAGAAAGAAAGAAAGGAAGGAAAAAAAGAAGACACACACACCTCCTCCACCCTGCCCCAGCCAGCCCTGGACCCTCACTGGCTCCCTCTCTGGGGCCCAGGCAACTGAGCAGGTTGAATCCACCTATAAGAAACCATTGAGATGAAGGAAGGAGGACCACAGGCAAACGGACTGAAGTGACTGTCCACATCTCTCAGGGGGGCTGGTTGCACCCTGAAAGGGGCATCTTTGATGAGAACAGCCTAATCCACGCAAGGAAGCTACGAGGAGAGCCAGGTCTGCACCCTTCTGCCCCTACCTCCACGCCTTCCTCCCAGCCACATCCTGGTCCCCGTCATCCTTGGCCCGTCCACTCCCGGTGGGAGGGACTTTGCTTTCTCAGCAGGAACAGGGTGCCCGGCAGGCGCTCAGCATCCACTGCTGATCCCTGAGTGCCAAGCCTCGATTAAGACCCACAAAACCTTGCTCATGGGCACAGAGGGAGCTTCAACTTAGTTGCATGTCAGAAGCAACTGTTTAAAATTCTGTTTTTGTTGGCTTTTATTTTTCAGTTGCCTCGAAAGGAGACAGAGCATACCCTGAAATATTCATTTTTCGCCATGGGAGTAGGGGAAGCCGCAGAAGTCCCTGGCCCTTCTAGAAGCCACCACCAGCAGCTGAAGGTGACAATTTCAACCTTCTCTGCTTCTCACCTGTGAGGCTGGGGGGACGGGGCAGCAGGGGTGGTAGAACAGGAATGGCGGCCGTGAGCGCCCCTCTCTCCCCTGGGAGTAGAGCTGGAGGGGAGCGACATATTTGGGTAAAGCCTGATCCTATTGCCCTCTGTGCGCCTACCCATGGCTGGTTTGCCCCATTCTGG